AAAAAAAAAAAAACAACCCACAACCAAAAAAAGCCCACAAAAATATCAAACAAAACATTAAACTTTTCTTTTAGGTATCACAAAGCAACTTTTAAATAAGAGGTGAACTTGGTAAATACCTATATAGATAGTTGGATAGTTGTCTCTGAAGGTGAGACAGGAAATGTTCTGTCAGAAATGTTTTAGGCTAGGCTGGCATAATTTATAAAGGTGAGGTCAACATCTCTGAAATGTACAATACTTGTTTGTGGGAATAAGGCTTTTCCAAGAGGTCACATAAGCTCGGATTCTAGTCTTTTTTGTCTGCAAGTACGGAGAAAGAGAATACTCTGGAGGAAACGCAAGAGAAGTAATGGTACAAACAGCATATGTATGTATTTTTTAGTGCAATGTACAGTCAGGTTTGGAGGAAGGCAGGTATTGCCAAGGACTGCAAGGATCGTGCTGTTGAAAAGATGAGTATACAGCAGGAGTCAGTTGACTGAGCAGATAAAAAGATGCAGGTCTGTAACAAAAGAAAAGCAGCCAGAAAAAGATGCCTGAGATGTGAATATTTAGAAAAACAACTGAATTGTTCTAGTTACTGCCTTAAGGAACAGGAAGAACTGCAATGAAAAAGATTAAGAGCAGTACTGTGTCTTAAGCTGAAAAACAGGTATCTTTAAGAACGTGACATGCCAATGTTCCAGTATGAATCACAAGAATATTTTCAGCAATGGAAAAGCAGCTCTGTTGGTCAGGAGTATAAAGGTACCTGTTGAACTTACATCTGCAAGTGTGATTATCCAGAAAAAAGATAGATAATTAACAGCTGTCAAATATATGGTATGTTATCTCCTGGATCCCAGGATATGCCCCTAAAGAATGTTTAAGACATATCTATTGCCTTTTTCACCTCTTGCCTGAACACTGAATTTGCTATATTAGGTGAAGAATGTGATAATCCACAACACAACGCGCTAATCCTATAAACTCATGCTGCCAGTTTGAATGTATTCATAAAACCTGATGAGTTAACCTCATACCAGAAAGCTTTCTACTAAATGAGGTACTGCTTGTTCCCCTGAAGTTGGCATAAATTCAGTCTTACATGCTTCAACTAATTCAACAGAAAAGTACTTGCAAATCCACACCTGATCTGGATCACATGTATATTAATGCAGCACACAGATCAGTCACACAGAACCACCATCTCCCAACACTAGCAGAATTACACTCATTCTGCAAGCATCACTGGAATTTTTATTTGTTGAACACTAAAGATGAGAGGAACCATGGAAGAGAAAAACAACTTGGGTCTACTGCTTTCTCAGCTTGGAAGCCAGCCAAATATATATTGCTTTTCAGAAATCTCACTCACACGAAGTATATGAGCTTATCTGCAAGAAACAACAATAACAAGAAAATACAATAAAACACATTACTTCAAACAATCAGGAAACAGAAGTTTAGGAACTGTCAACTTGACACAAATATTAAAGTGCTGAAGGAAAAGTACTTTTGTATGTTACATTTTTAGTGTTGGTCAGTACACTAGATTGCACTTACATTTTTTGTTGAGATCACACAAAATTTGAGTATTTCTTTGTCACACATTGATTGAAAAAATTTTACATAAAAGAAGCTAATTTATTTAATGATTTTAAAAAACAAAATCACAAAATTTCATGTATAAACAAGCATTTTCCTTTTTGCTTACAAACCATATGCTCAAATTAACCTCCTTTAATAATGAGGATGGCGCTCAGAAATTTTCCAGAAAAAGTTCTCCTGCTGTTGGGCCAGCACATTGAAGTGCATAGAATTACAAGGTTAAAATACTGTTATACACAGTTAACGTTCAGAATCTGATATATTTATTCCAAGACCTGATGCATGACCTGCAGTAAAATTGGAACAAAATGATGTACCAATTTACGGATATGATGAAAGAACTTAGATAATCCAGGCCAACAGTACTTTGCATAGCTTAAATATGCCTGCTTCTTCCTAGCAACAGGACAACAAAACATAAATCTAACATGGATCGGTGATATTGCTGTAACTAAACCATGACTTTGTGAACAATGTCACATCTATCTCTTAATTAAATCATTGCAACTTCCTGTTTTAGAAAAACCTTTAGAAAAGCATATAATGGAAAAAATCAGATTGAAAGGCCAGAAACAGACTGATTTTATAAACACACCTTCCCTCAGTTGAGCATTCTAGCTCAAGCTTCAGTAGGATTCTCTAACCACCACACGAAAACATAGTTTTTATAGATGCTGGAATAAATCAGTCCTATTGGGTCAATAGGTATACAGTTACATGCTCTTTTTCTACATAAGCGGGTATTTTAGACGCCTCTCTCATACTGTATTTTCCTGGCAGCAGACCACAACTTGTACTTTTCCTTTTATTTCAGTATCTTTTTAGCAGAACAAGCCCATAAATAGATGTAGGAGTACAACCAAGTAGATGATAAACTATGACATATGGGCTGAACAAGCAATTGGGAAAGTGAGCAGTGAGAAAGTGACTCTAGTGGAAGTAACTTTAAATAGTTTTGCCGTCAGATAAAGCATTCACCTAACATTTAAGACATCTGACACAGTTGCAAGAAAAAGTAACAGAAAAACTTTCATTCCAAGATATGTAAAATACACAAATGCATCCAAGAGTGTAAACACAAAATCTCATTCTGAGTTCAGTAAACATTTAGTAATTTTTGTTTAAATAACGATTCAAACACTGGTCTGAAAAGGACTTAGCCAGCTACTTTTCACATCTCTTGTTCATAGGGGATGAGGAAATATTAGATCAACTGAGCTACAGCTCTGAATACTATGAGAAAACACATGTATTTGAGCTTTTGTTCCATATCCTGAGATTTCACGAGACACCAGCAGAAAAAAAACACACTTTCCTGAAAAGCTTTTCTGTATTAGAAACACAGAATTCATAAAATTTAAAAATAAGTCTCATAACATAGGACTGTACACACAAGATCATTAAATAACTGAAAACAGCGACAAAATTCATTCTCAAGTTTAAAGCATCTGTCTATAGATGTGGACTTTATCCATAACCACAGAATATGATGAAAGATATGAAGACAACTACCAAACTACATATACTAGAAGTTCCATACAGAACAGTAAAGATCTGAAAAATCATTTTAAATGTCTTGCCAGAAGACATACAAAGCATTACTCTGCCTCCTTGGAAAAAGATGGAAACATCTTCTGCAGTATCGCTGTTGATCACACACAGGATAAACTTTCCAGGCAGCAAGCTGAGGACTGCAAAGGTGTACAGGACTAGGCATAGTAACTACCAAAAGCCTAACACTTTCTGGAAAACAAACCAAATAGAAAAGCTTTAATTGTTCCTTTCATAAGCAAAATTTTAAATCTATAAACACATTTTAGGATATTTGATTTCCCCATACTAGATTTGTTTCATCTCTTCATCTACCCATGAAAGTGCTTCAGTTTCCTGTACCTTCCTGGAGCTAGTTTAGAATTTAGCAACAGAAAACTGTTATTGAAGAGGTCTACTACAATGTTTGTAGTGAACAGAGCACTGTACACGAGCAATCCAGCAAAATCAGTGTCGAGGGGAGTGAGAAACTGAGCAGTCCTTTAAAGTTTTCCTGAAAGTGTATCTCTGGGAGGGGAAGGGCAGCACGAGGAAAGCTGCAGATCAACAGCTTTTCAGCTCCGGATTGGAAGGATTCAGTCTGGTTTAGATATATGGCGTATACTGCAAAACTCCCCACAACATTAATACAACGCAAATCTTGCAGCATTCAGCTGTCTACAAGTTGTACAGTAGTTTTAATTCTGCACAAAGGTATTTCCAAGTAAAACTCCCGCTTCCTTTTTTCTTCTATAGTAATTTTTAAAAACAATCTTATTTTACTTATCTTTACACACAAGTATATCACTTAAAATACCCCAAAAAAGCAAGCTTCAAGTACTTGTGAGCAAAACTCAAGAATGCATGATAGCGTATTATGTGAGTCACTCTATTTATTATACATTTAGAGCCCCCATCAAGGCTGTACTTCCCGTTGTAAGATTTCAGCAACATAAGCAACTGCCACAAAAATAAAACTATGCAAAAAGTTAAATGGTGCTTTGCCTCCTCTTCCTTTGACGTTTCTGCACTTTATTCATAACAGCAACAGTTTAGGAGACGTTCGGGTCTACAAGAAACACTAAGGGCAAACATCCCCTAACCTAAAATTTCCTTCCTCTGAGCAGAAGCACACAGAATCCACGCCAAAAGTTTGAGATGTTACCCCTTCGTGTGAAACCAGGGGCCCGCTCTAAACAGGGGCCCCGCGACAAAGTGCGCCGTGCTGTTTCCCCAGAGCGGCCCTGCCTCGAACCCCGAAAGAAGCCGAGGCACCCACCTGCCTTAACGGACTGCTGTGCCTCCCCTGACCCCGAAAACTTCTGAGGGGCCATGAGCACGTACCCCACCACGGCAGAGAGGCGTTCCCTCCGGCACACAGTCTGGGGAAGGCATCCCACCGCCCTCCGAGCCCGAGAAGCGAGGCCCTCTCTCCTCAGCCATCCCCGGGTGCCACATGAGCTGCGAGCTGGCTCGGCGGGCAAGCCTACACAGCGGCCCTCGCCTCAGGGCTGGGAGGCGAGGGGACACCTCGCCGCAGGGAAGGGGGCACCTTACCTCAGCGTTGGGGGGGGAATTGCTGCAGGGGGACCCTTACCTCACGGGAACCCTTACCTAAGAGGAGCAGCTTGACCTCCCTGGCCGCCTTCTCGCCATCCTCCCGCAGGTTCCTGTCGATCATCTTGCTCCTCTCCACCGCTGCCTTGTCCTCGGCGCTCAGTGTGCAGCCCATTTTGGGGAGGCGGCTGTTTTACTTCTCCGGGAGAAACGAAGCAAGGGAGCGG